TATATACATATATATATATATATATATACACACACTATTGGACTTTTTAGTTGACAAATTACAAACTAATGAGAGTGTGAAGAGAGGTTTTTTTTGTCTAAAAAAGTGCCCATGGTTCTAAAATTTAAGTCACTTCTTACCTCTTTTCTCACCAGTGTAGGGAACAAGTTCATCTCGTTCTGGATGCTCTTTGGCCTCTTTCTCCAGGTGAGAGAGAAGGTTATCCCTCTGGAACATTCCGGTTGGAGCTTTCTTGGTCTGATCCCTCTGTCTGAATCCTGCTGGCAACAGTGCATTCTGAAAACAATATAATTTATGAACATTAGATCTGTCAAAATATCATAAAAATCACACAGAATGTAAACTGGTCCATTACAGTAAAATATAAACTTGCCATATCTGGTACCATTAATACCATTAATGTACATGGTACAGGGGCCATTTTCCATCAATTTCCTCTTTGCAACTATTTGATACAGGCTATATGAGATTTCTGCACTTAACCCAGGTTTTCTCATTTGCACCCACTTACTGAAAAGGCAAACTCCACCACCGCCTTAAAAACAGAGAGCAATGATAACATTCTTCTAAAAAAGGGCCTATCAGCCACAGAGCAAACGGGGGGATGTGTACGTATGTGCATGTTAAATGCGATGACAGAATCCAAAACACACAGCCTTTCAGAGAGAACAGAGCTTTACCGGACACCTTAGTATTGTTTATTCTTAGTGCAGATAAAATTGAGCAAATGGAGACTCCAATTAATTCTAAAGTGACATTTAAAATCGTTAAAGTAGAGATTTCCACTACAAAATTTACAAGCACAATTTAGTGTTTCGGGAAAGACTCTGCTTTGGTGGGGACTGTTTATTTTTGTTACACTAGAGCAGATTAACTTTTGTTCCAGCACTAGTATTTATGGTAAACTTCTGCACCTCTGGCTGAACATCTCAGTTTGGGAGAAGAAATTATTTTTCCCTCCTCTCCATTGCTGGACATTTAGCCTACCTCTGTGTCTAAATCTGTCAAGAAATGCTTAGATGCTGGAGTCAAACCAGATTCCTCAAGAGCAAATATAAAACTGTGGTCTGAGTGAGAAAAAGAACACTAACAGAGAGAACCACTTTATCCCTATACTGCAATACAACAAGCGCACACTCTAACCCATGTAAAACAACACAGTCCTCTCAAACGGACTTAGACTAAACTCAGAAACGCCAATGTGATACAACACAGTCCAGACAAACAAAAACAACAGGAATCAAGTGGTCTTCTCAAACAATAACAGCAATGCTCAACACATAATACACCAGACAAACAAACCGCAGCAACACAGTCGAGTCAAACAAACACCATGATTCCTAATAAAAACCCAGTCCAGCCAAACAAACATAACAATGAAACAGCACAGTGAAACACTGTAGAAAGTGGGTTTCATAAATAAAAATGCCATTGAAACAACAACACCTAACAAATGATTGTACAACACAGTACAGACAGAAAAGCATTATACAAAAAAAACCCACATCCAGTCAAACAAACAACATTATACTAAAAAAAACACAGTCCAGCCAAGCAAACATGACTATGAAACAATATAGTCCAAACAAACAGTAAACACAGGAATTAAGTGGGCTTCTTAAACAAAAATGGCACACAGTCCAAAATAAAACAATCCAGTCA